TTTAGTACTTAAGTGTACGAAGTTATGTGTCATGTTGTGAGTTGTATTGCACGTGAGCAGATAATAAATACTTCGCTAGTTGCCAGTTTATAAATACACAGAGGAAGCATAACTCATGCAGCGCTTCACAACTACTTAGCTCATAAATCTTTTGAAGCTATAGCCAACGGCGGAAAGGATAGAAATGCAAAAGAGTTCCTTTATTTAGAAATCTAAAAAAAAATAAAAAATATATATACATATGTAGCATGATTAAATAATTAAAGGTTTGCTCATTAGTGACATTCGAGTTTTGACACTCCCTTAGCTCCCTTACAAAAGCTTTGAACACACACACGAACCCACACACAGTGCCTTGCTATCGAAGAGCGAAAACAAGAGAGGGATGCAAGTCTAAATGAATGGCAAAGACACTGGGATGTGACGACAAAAGGGAGGTGGACGCACAGGCTGATCAATAACATAAAAGCGTGGGTGGAGAGGAAACACGGAGAGACCGACTTCTACGTGACACAGTTTCTGACGGGGCACGGCTGCTTTCGAGAATACCTGTTCAAATATGGGCATGATGACGGGACAGAGTGCTCATTCCGCGGTAGCGGCGACGAAAACGTACTACACGTATTTTTCCACTGCCAAAAATACGAGGAACATAGAGCAGCTGATAAAGGAGAGCATGACGCCTGACAATATCGTGGGGCACATGATAAACTCAAAAGCGGTGTGGAGCAGAATTAAGGCGTGGTCCGCAATAGTCCTCCAGGAGCTAAGAGCGACAGAAAGACAGCGCAGTAGCGAAAAGAGAAGACTGAACGAGAGATAAGCCAGAAAGGCGTGTGTGAAGAGCCAATTGGCAAAGCTACGCCTTGCGACGTAATACCTAACGGCGGTCCCGCAAGGCGAAACACAAGGCTTCAGACGTCGGAGTTAAGGGCTTAGTACGTAGGCGCGCTGTCTCGCAAGTCCTGAATTATGTGATGACATAGTCTGGGCGTGGTCCCGAATGAGGTGCACCCTTAGCGGACAGGATGACGAATCGTGCATAACATCTTTGGAAGATTCCCCCTCCGTTGAAAAAAAAAAAAAAAAAAAAAAAAACAGTGCCTTGCTAAGGGAGCCGACTTTGTCAAGAGGGAGCGAGAAAACAGTTTTTTGAGCAAACCTTTTATTATTGAATCATGCATATGTAGTACATATTATGTACACTAGACTGCATCACTCCCCATACAAAAAAATCGGTACTATTTTTCCATTGGAATTATAAAATCTATTATATTTTAAGACGTCCACCAAAATATTTCGGAAAAATATTAAGATTTAAGTGAGCTGGACCGATTTCAAAATACCTCCAAAAATGGAGATTTTTATGAATAAAAATAGTTTCTTTGTTTTTGTTATCTTTTTGGCCTTTATAACAATTATATTCAACAATTTATATTGAGCTCGAGGCCGTTTTCAAATTATTGTTGGTTTTCCACAATAAAAATTTTTATTTAAAACGGCCTCGAGCTCAATATAAATTGTTGAATATAATTGTTATAAAGGCCAAAAAGATAACAAAAACAAATAACTTAAGGACGAGCACACCTAAAAGTTAAACATTCTAAAAATAGAATTATTAGCGAAAAACCAACAATACCAACAACCACATGATCAAGTGAATTGCAGCGGAATAGCTGCGCTTGATTGTGTTGGCATAACAAAAATGAATATAGTGGAAAAAAGCAAACGATAATTTACAAGGCGTACTTAGCACGGTGCATAGGCAACTGGCTGAGTCAGTGGGATCGTCGGTTCGAATCCTACTGAAAGAAGTCTGATGAGGAAATGTGATTTCCGAAATAGCTATCACTTCTACCATTTTTTCAAATTATTGTTGCTTTTCCACAATAAAAATTTTCATTTAAAACGGCCTCGAGCTCAATATAAATTGTTGAATATAAAAATAGTTTCTAAAAGATTTTTTTTTTTGAAAAAATCTCCTTAAATGA